CCCCAAAACCCCAAAACCCCAAAACCCCAAAACCCCGATTTAATTAATTTAGACTGAAATGATGAATAAGTACAACAATAAAATGAAGAAATTACTCAGAGACAAGAGTGAAAAAGAGCCAATTAATACTGATAATGACTGTTTAAAGCTTGAAAGCAAGACAGTTTGAAAGACATAGCTTTAAACATGAATTTTATTGTAAAAAGGTAAGTTTTAATGAATTAAAAATTTAGAGTCATTGCAAAGTTCAAAAAGAGCTTGCCAAGACAATATGATACTTTAGATACTCACAAAATAAGGGGATTACCTGAAAGTAGGGAAGAATTTTCTCATAATCCTGCTGATTTATCAATAAAGCCGCATGTCGTGATGGTGCCTCCTCAGTTAGATTCAAAATATCGTGCATCTCTGGTGAGCAATAAAATTTCTTCATAACTGGTTCTAATTTATTAAAATTTGGCTTTAAACTTCATTATGTTTAGGAGATTCTAAAAGACACAGAAAGGAATCTAGAAGGCTCTAAATTATTTTCGAAAGGCCAATGTTGAGTTAAAAGCTCAGAATGGAAATCTTATATTTACAAGGCTCTTGACTACCAGGAGTTGGTCAATAAGGATTCGAGGTACTCTATTGTTAGATTTGTATTTATAATGTTTAGATTTTCAGAAATAATATGTATTCTCCAAATTTAGCCAAAATATACAGAGCATTGTCATCCTGTATGCGGCAAAAGAGAAGTCGCTTGACCAGTATATCTGATTAGAGATAGAAGTGAGTTATAGAACTTAGTAGTCAGCATGAAGGTATTTTTAAAAGGATCTGAGTTATTTTCAAGAAAAGGACAGCTGAGTATCAAAGCTCGCAAGGAACTTTGCTGATACAAGCATCTGAGTTCAAAGAGATCAAGGCGTCCGCTAAGTCAAGGCTTATGCAGAGTCTCCTCAATGCCAACAAATTATTAAGAACCAGAATCGTGACGAAAGGCATCCTTGCTTAAGCTCAGGATGAATATTTTCTAGATTGTATGGAAAAGTACAGTTTCAATCTACAGATACACAAGTGGGGTTTTGGGGTTTTGGGGTTTTGGGG